GAGACTCTTGAATGCTGAGACCAAACTGAGGACTGATGGGTGTGGGGGGGGACGGGGGAAGATGCGCATGGAGGGGGGTACTTGTGAGGATGAGCACTGGGTGATATGGAAACCGACTTGACAATAAACTATTTGAAAAAAAAAAAGAAAATAACTTTTACCCAGAAAAATAAAAAGAATCCGCGTACCCTGATTGCCTAGTGATTTCCATGTAGTCAAATCATTGATCTTTTCCTTTGATTGTTCATTCGTTTTTCACATCCGTTTTCCTCATTTTAAGATAAGCCCATTACTCACTAAGTTTAATTTCATTTGTTTTGGAGTTTAAATTTCATACTTAATATTTTAATTATATCTGTTTTTTTATGAAAAGTTAGGGGACACATTGTAATAATCACAATAATCACACCCAGATACATAATCATTAATTTTTGGAAAATATTTTGTTCTTTGTGAATATTCTCACAGATTGATCTGTTGTATAATGATTTTTATGTCGTACATTTTTATTTAACGTTACATCACCTGAGTTTTCTTTGGCATGCAAAACATTTTTCATATATTAAGCCTAATTTAATATTGGAATGATATATTTTTTAACAAACACTATATTTCAAAATATCAATGTGTTTTTTAAATTTATGTATAATTAATATACAATGTTATGTTAGTTTCAGGTGTTCAATGTAATGGTTCAACAAATCTGTACATTACTCAGTGCTCATCAGATATTTATATTCTTGATCCACTTTATCTATTTCACCCTCCCTCCCTGTCTCCCCTCTTGTAACCATCAGTTTGGTCTCCATATTTAAAAGTCTGTTTTTTATTTGTTTCTTTCTTCTTTGTTTATATTGTTTCTTGTATCCCACATATGAGTGAAATCATATGATATTTGTCTTTAACTGTCTCCCTTATTTCACTTAACATTATACCCTCTAGGTCCAGCCACATTGTTACAAATGGCAAGATTTCATTCTTTCCTGTGGCTGACTGATATTCTATTATTATATAAATGACAATATATATAATCATCATATATATATGATTGTATTATTATATATATTATATATATAAAAAGACATATATACATAGAATCTTCTTTATCCATTCATCATCTATAGATGGACATTTGGGTTACTTTCATATCTTGGCTACTATAAATAATGCTGCAATAAACACATGGGTGTATATATCTTCTTGGGTTAGTGTCTTCAGTGTCTTTTTTTTAAACTACCAGTTGATTCTTGTTAAATATTTTCCAGTGGCTCCCGGTATGAATAAAGTTGTCATAAACATAATAACTTACAAGCCTTTTCCTGTTGTCTTTGTTATTTTTCCATATAGGAGAAATCCTTGAAATCTAAAAATTTTGCATTTATCTTGCTCCTGACCAGGTTGAATATGTACAAAGTGTTAAGAAAATACACATGATAAATATGAGAATTATTTATGTTTTTAACTGTATTGAGAACAATTAAATGAAAATTTGTTAAATTGAGATGTCAGTGTAAATTAAATTGAAATTTTACACAAAAATCTGTATCCAGCAGACATTTCTTTATAAAGTTTATTTCAGCAAAAATGGTGATATTTCTATGGCCGGAAGTACATAATCAGAGTAACTCCTGACTGAGATAGGAGATTGCAGTGACACTGTCTGAGCTCAGTTAATTCCACATCCCCTCATTTGACCCGTGGTCCAGAAGTTCCCGTCTTTTTTAACCCATTCCAGTGTAGGAAACTGCACACTAGACAATCAGTGGGGTGTCTGTCCAAAAACAAAAACAAAAACAAAAAAACAAAAGGAAAGAAAAGAAAAGATAGGGGCGCCTGGGTGGCTTAGTCGGTTAAGCGTCCGACTTTCGCTTAGGTCATGATCTCGCGATTCGTGGGTTCGAGCCCCGCGTCGGGCTCTGTGCTGACTGCCAGCTCGGAGCCTGGAGCCTATTTTGGAGTCTGTGTCTCCCTCTCTCTCTGACCCTCCCCTGCTCACGCTGTCTCTCTCTCTCTCTCCTAGAAATAAATAAAAATATTAAAAAAAAAAAAAAAAAAAAAGAAAAGATAGAGTTAAAGGATTTAGGGGATGGATTGGACTATTTGACTAAAGTCAAAATAGAAATGAATCAGGGTCTGGAGAGGTCCAGAGCAAAACTGTGCTGTGTATAAAGGAGTCGACATCAGGTGGGCAATCTTGACTTGGAACCCACATGTCTGAGTTGAGGTTGGGTGGCTGAGGTACCCAGTTGACTTTTGAGGAGGCTCCTTTGTGTATTTGATTGAAGAAATCTTTATTTCCCCATTTGAGCATATGCACTTCATATTAAGTTGTCAGAGAGGTTCTCACTGAGGGGAGGATACTTGTGCCTAGATTTTTGTATTAAGTAGAAAGCCTAGGAAATATGGGCAGAAGGCATTTGGGGGCACTAGAAAAGAAAGTGCAAATATCTGTGGCTGCCATGAGATTGAGGAGTGAGGGGAATAGAAAATCAGAGATGTGGCAGGTAATTGTGGAAGATGTTGTTTGTTTTCTTGCCATTCAAAAAATGATACCAAGGTGCGAATCTCTGAAAACTTAATCTAAAAAGAAGTTATCTCTAAATCAGTCAAAAAAAAATGACACGTTATATATGGGAATAACACTTTGAATTGACACTGACTTAAAAATATTTATTTTTTTTGAGAGAGCGAGAGACTAAAAGACAGCTGGGTTGGGGGAGGGAGGGAGAGAGAGAGAGAGAGGGAGAGAGAGAGAGAGAGAGATTGAGAGAGCACGGGGGAGGGGCACAGAGGGAGAGAGAGAATCCTGAGCAGTCACCTCGCTGTCAGCACAGAGCCCTACTTGGGGCTCCATCTCATGAACCCATGAGATCATGACCTGAGCTGAAATCAAGAGTCAGATGCTTAAATGGTTGAGCCACAAGGCACCTCTACCATTGACTTTTTAAGAGACTGTTGGGGACAAAAGAATAAAAAAAAATCTTAAAAGTGCAGAAATAAATAAAAGAATTGCTGACCCAGAAATCTGTAGCAAAATACCCTTCAAAAAGAAGCTGAGATAAAGATGTATTTAAACAAAAGAACACTGAGAAATTTGTTGTCAGGAAACTGCAACGTAAGGAATGCTAACAATAAGGGACTTGAAACTGAAAGGAAATGATATCAATGACACTACATGGAAATTTGTTTCCTGAGGAAGAAGTCAAGTGTATCAGAAATTGTATATATTGGGTTAAATATAAAAATTAATTCTCATCATTTCTCTACATACAAGTGACTATTTACAGTAAAACATTTAATGTTGTTCATGAGAGTTTATAATGTGTAAATAGATATAAAACATATGACAGCCATGGCAGAGACAGGGGATGATGAAAGAAATGCGGCTGTAGAAGTTTTTTCTTTTTTTTTATCAAGTTGTACAATGCGAAGCAAGCATTTGGCAAAATACACAATCCTCTCAAGGTAAACACTCAGCAAGTAGGACTCTAAGGGTCCTTCTTAACCTTAACCTTAATTTCCTTAACCTGATGAGTAGCGTCTGTGTAAAATCAACAAGTAACATTATATCTAAATGTGAAATTCACCCCTTTTCTTGGAAATCAGGGTTGGAGAGCCTTAGTGACGTGATCTGATTATAGGGGTCAGAGAGGCCGCTGCTGAGAAGGAAGCTCTCTGTGCTCCGTGGGGAAATTGTCCGTGAGGGCCTCAGGCAAGTGCATAAACTCTCAGCTCCCTGGTTGCCATCACTCAGAAAGTCCTGTTGTGACAAATCTGCTTTTAGCCCTTGAGAACTCCATTTGAAGCTCGTGAGTGAAATTTTATTGCTGAGGGGTGAAATTTCAGGGGGAAGACCTGCTCCTCACTAGATGTGATGGGGCCCAAAATAAAAGGTTAAAAATATCAGGACCTTTTTTTTGGAGTTACATAGACTCAGTTGGAAAGAATAGAGCAGTTGTGTGCTGGAGCCATTTATACACATTCACAAAATACAAAGTTTGTGCAGTTGTGTGTACTTCTTTCAGACTCCATTTTTAGTGCAATTATGTTAGTAGATTGAAATGGGCCATAGTTAGGAGTATGTACATCATGGAAATTGACAAATACTACAGCTAGGCTTTGTTTTTAAATATTTGTATGTATGTATGTATGTATGTATGTATGAACTGATGAGCCAGTTTACCAGCACACCACAGGACCAGAGTCACAACTGTGGAAAGTCCCAGTAGAATGGAAAATGCTATCACAAAGGGGAGAATGAAGCAACTCTGAGTTTGAAGGGCTCTTTAGCCTTTATTGTGCCAACAAACCATGACTTCTTACAATAAGGTTCTATGTAGGTCTCAGGTCTTGACTACTATAAACATTTAAGGTATTTATTAAGGCTTAGTCATGACTTCACACCCATCCAATATTTGTCACTGGGTTGTTTTGTTAAACGTTTTGAAGACTTATGCCGTGTTTGATGTGCTAGGTTTTGGACAGGGAAAAGACACTCCCAAACCACAGAATGTTCACCATCAATTGTGGACTCATTGATAGGAATCAGATTTGCTCCTTTCCCCAAGATAGGTTTACTGATTACATCGTCATTGGAAGCAGGAAGGGAGTAACTTGAGAGATATATCATGCAGGTGGTGAGAAGTGCCCTGAATAGGGGTAACTCTCTCTGTAGAATAAAATTGTATTATTATTCTCAAAAAACTTCACAAATACAGAAAGTGTCACTTCTCTTATGTTATTGTATTCATTTTATTTTGTACAACTAAGATAGTAACTTGATTTTCTTCACTTATATAAATATCTATCTTGTTTTGTGATTAGGCTCTCATTTACAGAAAAACCATGTCTTTCCATTTTGCTATATAACACAGCTCCTGGCATTCTCTGAATTGAATGGCATCAGGAAGGTGCCAAAAGTGCTTATAATTCTTTGAATGTAATCTGTATTTTCTCTTGTCTTTGCATAGAGATGGTGGAGTCCAGTGGACTCCCCAGGCATGGCTACCTTAAACCACACTGGTATTAGCCACACAGTCTTCTATTTGCTGGGCATCCCTGGGCTAGAGGAGCAGCACGTGTGGATATCCATCCCCTTCTTCATTTCCTATGTCATCGCCCTGCTTGGGAACAGCCTGCTCATCGGCATTATTCTCACAAAGCGCAGCCTCCTTGAACCCATGTACCTCTTCCTTTGCATGCTGGCCGGAGCAGACATTGTCCTCTCCACGTGCACAGTACCTCAGGCCTTGGCCATCTTCTGGTTCCATGCTGGGGAGATCTCCCTGGATCGCTGCATCACTCAGGTATTCTTTCTCACTTCCACTTTCGTCTGTGAGTCGGGAATCTTGCTGGTGATGGCATTTGATAGTTACATTGCCATATGCTACCCACTGAGATACATCACTATTCTTACACGTTCACTAATTGGGAAAATCGGTGTGACCATCTTTCTGAGAAGTTATGGTACAATTTTCCCTACAATATTTCTTTTGAAAAGATTAACTTTCTGTGGAAGTAACATCCTCCCAAACACAGCGTGTAAGCATATTGTCTTGGCCCATGCTTCCTGTAATGACATACGAGTAAACATCTGGTATGGGCTTTTTGTCCTAATGTCAACATTGGTCTTAGACATCGTGCTAATTTTTATTTCATATGTGCTGATTCTCCATGCTGTCTTCCACATCCCATCTCGAGATGCTCGCCACAAAGCTCTCAACACATGTGGCTCCCATGTCTTCATCATTTTCCTCTTTTATGCACCTGGTATCTTCTCTGTCCTCATGCAGCGATTTGGACGCCATGTCTCACCCCACATCCATGTCCTGCTGGCCAATGTCTATAATCTGGCTCCACCTATGATGAATCCCATCATTTACGGAATCAGGACTAAACAGATCCGGGACCAGGCGGCTCATGTGTTTAGAATACAGAAATAAATGTGATGCTGGAAACTAACATTGCACTTTTCGCAATAATTCTCTCCATGCATGAGGTGAACTTTAGCATCAGAGTGTGGGACTGTACAGCTGAGAAACTACTCAAATGACCCAGGTATTGGTTTTTCTAGAGCAATTACATCAGAACAATTTTGGTTCATGTTTCTTCTAAAACCTCAAATCAGTCATTGGATATTAGGGCCTTTTGGTGCTTAGGTTTTTATTCATAGGTTGGAGAAGTAGATAAGTACACCACTTGGTCACTTATACCTCTATAAGCAAATACTAGCTAATGGAATAATATACACTGGAGAGAGTAGCGCTTCTTGGTGGGTTGCTGAAATATTCTTTTCTTATTATTTCTTATGTTCATGATATTTTTTTCATACTGTTAATTGTTTAGAAATAAATATTTAACAATAGTTCACTGCTTGGCTTAAAAACATCATATGCATAATAATATATTAAGGAGTAATTAACCAAAAATTATGGTGAGGAATAAGAAATGTTTTCTCTAGAGTAACACTACCTAAATTAATGATAGGACATGTATTAAGTGCAATACAATAGTGCAGCACACCTAGTGGGTCTATGTCTTTGGTGATAGAACCATGCCCTAAATATGTTTATAACAGAAAGAAATACATTGGACATCAAAAGTTAAGTATTATCTTTTAAAATATATTTTCCTATGCCTGTATTCATCAATCTATGCTGATATCATATGAATGGTCTGTATATAAGATTCACGTTACTTTTAAAAATAATTTTAGCTGGAATTTCTAACATTTATTCCATGAACATGGTTTACCCAAAAAAGATTAAGTGAAGAATTTTAAGAAAGAGATATGGAGATCATTCAAATTGTTTGTCGTACAGACAATCCTCCACCAACATATAGTTGATATATCTATGTGTTACTTACCACTTAAGGTCTAATATTTTTAAAGATATTTTACTGCTTTTGAAGTATGCCACACCATTATTATATTAACAAAATATAATGCTTCTACCCATAGAAACAAATAAACATGAAAAGAGGTATTAGCAAACACCATTCATTAATACTTCCATTTATGCAAGAGTGCAAGAGATGAATTATCTAGGTGGTGCTTATTTTAAAATGTTTTAGCTTTGCCTTCATTTAAAAATTTTATTTATTTATTTTAAGTAATCTCTACACCCAATGTGGGCCTCAAACTCATGATCCCAAGATCAAGAGTTGCATGATCTTCTGACAGAGCCAGCCAGGTGCCCCTTGTGTTCATTTTTAAAAGGATAAGTTATCAGTATACAATTTTAGTTTGCAGGGGTTCCCTCCAACCCCAGAACTTTACAAACTTCCTTCTACTGTCATCTTTTACCTTTTATATTGAGAATTCTCCTGAAAGTTTTATTGTTGTTCCTTTGGATGTATTGTGCCTTTATCTCTGGCTACTTTTATGATTTCCTTTTGTCTTTTTGTTTTGTCAGAACATTTACTACCATGTGTCCACGTGTGGTTTGCTTGCATGTATGCTTCTTGAAAATGTAAATTTATACCTTTCACTGGTTCTGGAGAGTTTCCATCCATTATCTCCTTGAATGTTTTTTCTGCCGCATTTTCTCTCCTTTCTCTCCACATATTTATATTACATACTTTGAATGTGTCTATGTTGTGCTTTATGCTCATTTATTTTTATTTCTGCCATCATTTTTCCTCTCTATTACTTCAGATTTTGATATTTGTATCAATCTATCTTCTCATTCTGCTCTGCCAAATCTGTTTATTTTAATTTCTCAGTTAAATGCTTATTATCAGAGAATTGTGTTTTTCAGTTCTATAATATCCATTTAAGTTTTTTTTTTTCCCAGATTTTAATTCTCTGGATGAATCCTTCAAACTCTCAAGTAATCTCATCATATTTTGCTATCTTAAAGACAGTAGTCATTAAAGTTCTATAATCTTTGACTGATAACCTTATCTAATTACTAGGTCATCTGACAGTCTGGTTTTGTTTTCGGGCTTTCTTTTTCCCCCGTGATCACTGATCACAATGTTTTTCTTCTTTCTATGTCCAGGACTTTAATTTTATGCTTGATGTTTTAATAAAAATCCTATAGAGGCTGAAGATAAAGGCATCTTCCTTCAGAAGTGTTTTCTCCCTCTCTGGTATAGGGATAAGGCCAGTAGCCGATCACCTCATGTAGGGAGGCCTGGACCTGTGTCAAGGTCAGGTTAATCACATTAATCTCCTGGGCCCTTATTTCTAGGGAAGAACTCTTCAGAGATTTTAGTTCAGATCCTGGAAGGCCCTCTTCTTAGTCTTAAAAACTGTGAGTGATTTCTTCCTTTCAGAGATTTTTTAGCTTATGTCTTTAGCCAAAAGACTCCATGCAGCTTCAAAATTTGAAAAATGACAGAAATGAGAGGTTAGGGTATAGTCCAGTCAAGGTCCTTCACCCTGCTAGGTCTTTCTTTCTTAGGAATCACTCTTAGGAATGTAAGAGATTTATTCTTGTCTTTTAGAATTTCTTGGCTTAGTTCCCCAGCATCTAGTGCAGACACAGTCCCATAGGAAAATATAGCTGTGCATTTGAGGCCTCCAAAGTTGGAAATTTTGACTGCAGTTCTGTTTGGCCACTGAAAAGCTCTGTGAGTTTCACTTTTTACCAGGAGAAGCCCTCTGCTAGGACCAAGATTGACCCTTAGCCCAGGCCCAGAATTTGCAAATAGTTCCTGGAAGAAAAGGTGGTTGACAGTTGTCAACTTGCTTTTGCAAGGTTCTTTTGTGTCTTGAATTTTTGCTCATCTGGTTTCTGTTGCTTTCCTGGCTCTCTGATGTCTTCATGTATGGTTTTTGCAATTTAGTTGTTGTCTTTTTCTAGTTGTAACAATGGAGACATTATCATGCTGTGCCTTATTCATATCATACCCAAAACAAAGGTTCTAAGAAACTGTTAATACTTGCCTTGAAAACACAAAAATAATAAAGGTATAACACGTGGCTTGATTAAATATGTATGCCTTTGGGCCAGCAAGACATACTATTTCTACATTTCCATCGGAATTTAAAAATGGCCACAGATTTTATTCATTATACTTTGAGGTTCACTTAATTTTGGCTTTTAAGGATTCCCTCAACTTGTATTAACTATATATAAAGCACAACATGATATAGTTTCCTTTGAGTCTTACCTGAATCAAGAATATGCACAAGATAAAGGGACCAACATCCCTTTGTATTGTAAATATTAAGATTACGCTCCTGAACCTAATAAATTTACTTAGCATTCAGTTTTTTTTCTCTTATGGTACATTATTTCCGTTATATCAAGACAAAAGCATTAATTAGTGTCTTAGTTATCCTGTATAGTGAGCTTCTTGTGGCTACTTGTTTTTCTCCAAAATCCCTAATAACTGTGATTTTTAACGATATCAGAAATCTCCAGGGGGGTCTGGGTGGCTCAGTTGGTTAAGTGTCCAACTTCAGCTCAGGTCATAATCTCATGCTTTGTTGAGTTCAAGGGCCTCATCGGGCTCTGTGCTGCCAGTGCAGAGCCTGCTTGGGATTCTCTCTCTCTCTCTCTCTCTCTCTCTCCCTCTCTCTCCTTCTCTCCCTCTCTCCCTTCCTCTCTCCCTCCCTCTCTCTGCCTCTCCCTCCCTCTCTCTCAAAATAAAGTTTAAGATAAAAAAACATCAGAAATTTCCAGACCGTTTTTCACTTTATCAATCCTGTCAGAGTGAATCTAGTCACCTCTGATTATTTGTCAAAAGCCTACAATTTCAACTAACAATTTCAATTGTTTCTCCTAAAGGGAGTGTAGTGGCATGTTGCCCTATACTCCAGATAACAGAGCTTTTCTTACATGGGCAATAATGGTGCAGTTTGTGTGTTTCAGATGTCAGTGGTCATTTGCATCACTTCATCTTGCTCAGCCTCTAAACAGCACTGGAAAATGGCTGACTGCTCTCTTCTTGAACTGTTGACTCTGCTCCCATGGCATCAGTTTTCTCCTATACCTCCCGGAAGTTTTCCAATAATCAACTGAGAGGGGGGAATCTAGAAGTCAGATGTTCAAATCTTAAATTTGCATATTGTACCCCACACTTGGACTCCTCTTTACCTCACTTACCTTACCTCCCTTCTACAACCTTGACTTTCTTTTTTTCTAAGTCTTCTCAGTTCAGGTAAAGGCTCATAGAACTTTCTTTGTCCAGTGCACCAAATGTTCTCCTTGCTTGTATTTCTCTGGCTCACTGCTTATCAGATAAGTTGCAGCACAAATGTCTTTTCCTCAGTGAAAATGTCTCTGATCACCCAATTTAAATTACATGCCCCAAAGTAGGAAAGTATAGATATGGATCCAAAATTTGTAAAGTAAGTTCATTCAAGGCCAATCAAAACAGATTAGCTACCCATTTTCTCTCAGGCAGCTGAGTTCTAAAACAAGATTCAATAACTTATGTTAATCCTTTTATAGACAGACACCCTTGTTTTGCTTTGAATCCTCCAAAACACTGATTTACTTATACTCCCCCCAAACTAGTCTGCACCCTAAATCCTGTAATAATGCCATCTTTTCATTTGTTTGGTGAAACTCCTCATTGTTCTCTTGTTTCCCTCCTTACAATGGGTCACCCAAACCCCTGCCCTTCAGCCCTACTTTGCTGGGTTATAAACTTGTCCCTGAGGATCACAGATTGATCAGGTTAGAATTGTGTCATTAATCTCTAACTTTCCAGCTTTCTCAGGATTCCACTCTCGTTGGAATTTGACAGCTGAACATTGCCATGGACATTTTGATTATGTACTCCCACCTCTTGAAAGAAGACTGTCATATTTGCAGAAATAGAAATATATAAAGAAACTTCTGCTAGTTAAAATCGTGTGATTCAAATTGTAATTTAATTCACACTGTCTTTTTTTTTTATTTTTTTTTTTTACAAATAGTTTATTGTCAAATTAGTTTCTACATAACACTCAGTGCTCATCCCCAAAGTGCCCTCCTCCATGCCCATCCCCCCCTCCCCCCCACATCCATCAGTCCTCAGTTTTTGTCAGCATTCAAGAGTCTCTCATGGTTTGCCTCTCTCCCTTTCCCCCACCATTTCCGCCCTTCTTCTCCCGCTTGTTCCTCCGTCAAGTTCCTCCTAATCCTCCTATACGTGCAAACATATGATATTTGTCCTTCTCTGCCTGACTTATTTCGCTCAGCATAACACCCTCAAGGTCCATCCATGTTGCTACACATGGCCAGATTTCATTGTTTCTCATTGCCATGTAGTATTCCATGGTATAGATAAACCACATCTTCTTGATCCATTCATCTGTTGATGGACACTTAGGCTCTTTCCATGTTTTAGCTATTGTGGAGAGTGCTGCTATGAACATTGGGGTACATGTGCTCCTATGCCTCAGCATTTCTGTATCCCTTGGGTAAATTCCTAGCAGTGCTATTGCTGGGTCATAAGGGAGTTCTATTGTTAGTTTCCTGAGGAACCTCCACACTGTTTTCCAGAGGGGCTGTACCAGTCTACATTCCCACCAACAGTGTAGGAGGGTGCCCGTTTCTCCACATCCTCGCCAGCATCTAGAGTTCTGTAATTCACACTGTCTTAATTTAACAAATTTCCATTTAATTATTTTCAGCATGGTTAAAAACCGTAAACAACCCTAGTATTTATAATGTGTATTTTCTTAACATTTTGTACATATTCAACCTGGCTAGGAGCATATCAAATGTAAATAAAAAATTTCAAGAATCTATCACATATAAAAAAATAACATAGAGGACAAAGGTTTATACATAATTATATTTATGTCAACATCATTGATGCTGGCAATCATTTGAAAATAAGCATCTAAGAATCTACTATTTACCGAGTGTGCCTTGGTGGCTTTGTTGGTTAAGTGTCTGGCTTCAGGTCAGGTCATGATCTCGTGATTCATGAGTTTGAGCCCAGCATTGGGCTCTGTGCTGACAGCTCATGGTCTGGAGCCTACTTTGGATTCTGTGTCTCCCTCTCTCTCTGCCCCTCCCCTGCTTGTACTCTGTCACAAAAATGAATAAAACAGAAAATAAAAGAATCTACTAGTTAGCTAAAATATGGATTTTGAAATATATTTTATACATAAAAATATACTAGCAATAATAAATTAATTTCATGTGCAAATCATTAACATGTACAAATCATTATACAATATATTAATACATGAAAATAAGGTTAACTGACAAAATATTTTATAAATAGTAATAATTATGTCTCTTGAGTATAATTATTGGTAATTATAATATATATATTTAAAATTTTTAAAAATGTTTTTATTTATTTCTGAGAGAGAGAGAAACAGTATGAGCAGGGGAGGGTCAGAGAGAGAGGGAGGTACAGAATCCGAAGGAGGCTACAGGCTCTGAGCTAGCTGTCAGCACAGAGCCCGACGCGGGGCTCGAACCCATGAATCGTGAGATCATGACCTGAGCCGAAGTTGGACGCTTAACTGACTGAGTCACCTGGGCAACCCAATTATAATATATTTTAAAAGAAAGATATTTTCAAGGTATTGAATATAAAAATTCAAATCTAAAATAAATGGGATAAAAAAGAGTAAGTAATGGACTTACCCTAAATCAGAACAATTTCTTTTTTTTAAAATAGTTTATTGTCAAGTTGGTTTCCATATAACACCTAGTGCTCATCCCCACAAGTGCCCTCCTCTATGCCCATCACCCCCCTTTCCCTTCTCCCCCATTCCCATCAGTCCAGAACAATTTCTGAAGTTAGAAACAAAGGGGAAAACATGCAAGGGAAAAATGTGGTGATTTGACTACATAAAATTTAGGTTTTCCTATATGAGTAAAATTAAAGAAAGATAAAAGAGGAAATATTTTCAAAGAATGTTCCTTCTTTGGTAAGCTGCAAAATGTAAAATATTGCTAAATACGGAATGATTATTTACATTATGATAAACATCTAAATTGTTATGATTTGAGCTAGTAAAATTTTGTCAAACCATGCTTCAAATATAATAAAATACTTGTTAGAAATCTATAGGAAAATAATAGGACTTAAGATTTTGCACATAGTTCAGTTTCAAACATGTAAAACATTAAAGTAAGAGTTAAAATGGAATTATATAATAAACATGAGTCATAAAAGGAACTTATTTATACATTTAAATATTTTCCAAGTATTCTACAATGAAAATTTTATGCACTGGCTTTTTAAGATGAAACATTATTTTCTTGATATAGTATTTAGTTTGGTAGTAGTATTAGTAGACCCAATAGATACCACATCTGGGTATATACTACAAGGAAATAAAAACAGGATATCAAAGAGATATATGCAGTCTCATGATTATTGCTGCATTATCCACAATGGTCAAGATACAGAAACAATTTAAATGTCCAACATGGGTGAGTGGATAAATAAATTGTGATATATATAATACGTGATTGTCTAGAAACATCATGAGGTGTCTCAGAGCTTGAGAAATTCAGTGAGGAATTGCTGGACAAAATTCGAGGACAGAGCACTGCTCTTGCTTCATCCATTTCTAAAGATCATGCTAGAGTCATTAAGGACATATGACTTTTGAAAATCAATGCATCCTGTCCCAGGGTCTTTGCAGGAGTGGGCTTGCTCAATCCAATATGGTGCCGTGCTCAGTTGTTTTGAGCATGAAGGAGTGAGTCCTGCAACCTTCCTGGTGATCTTACTCCAGAGACAGAAATCATTGAGCTTTTCCTTAGTGTTTCAGCTCTTATCTCCCACCCATTACTTCCATAGGCCACTTCACAGACAGCTAGAGATTCTGAAAACTCAGTTCTTAAACCAAAGTAATTTCTGTTTTGTAAACAACACATGAACCATCTGCTCTTGGATTTGCTTGGTCTTGATCCCATATATGATGGGATTCAGCATAGGTGGGGCAAGCATGCAGACGTTAGCCAACAAGATGTGGGTATGAGGTGGAGTGTGGCGTCCAAACCGCTGAGTAAGGGTGGTGAAGATCCCAGGCCCGTAAAAGAGGACAATGATGCAGACATGGGAACCACATGTGTTGAGAGCTTTGTGGCGAGCATCTCGGGAAGGGATGTGGAAGATGGCACAGAGAATCAGCACATAGGAAACAAAAATTAACACAACATCTAAAACCACTGTTAACATTAGGATGGAAAATCCATACCAGATGTTCACGCGAATGTCATTACAAGCATATTTGGCCAAGCCAATGTGTTCACAGTAGGTATGTGGAATAATATTATTTTGGCAGAAAGTCAATCTTTTCAAAAGATACTTCCCCATAATACTTTATGGGGAAAATGGTACCATAACTTCTCAGAGAGATAGTCACACCAATTTTCCCAATCAGTGCACGTGGAAGAATAGTGGTGTATCTCAGTGGGTAGCATATGGCAATGTAGCGGTCAAACGCCATCACCAGCAAAATGCCTGACTCAGAGATGAAGGTGGTATGGATGAAGAAGAGCTGAGTGATGCAGCGATCCAGGGAGATCTCCCGGGCATGGAACCAGAAGATGGCCAAGGCCTGAGGTACTGTGCACGTGGAGAGGACAATGTCTGCTCCTGCCAGCATGCAGAGGAAGAGGTACATGGGTTCGTGGAGGCTGCGCTTTTTGAGAATAATGCAGATGAGCAGGCTGTTCCCAAGCAGGGTGATGATGTAGGAAATGAAGAAAGGGATGGAAATCCACATGTGCTGGTCCTCAAGGCCAGGAATGCCCAGCAAATGGAAGACTATGTGGCTAACAGCAGTGTGGTTTAAGGAATTCATGCCTGGGAAGATCTCTCAGGACCTCACTTCCTATTCACACTGACAGGAGAAAATATATATTACCTTTAGTATATTTGTAAGGGGAATTATATTAATTAGTATATTAAAATTCTTTGTAAAGTCACCTCCATTTTCTCAGAAGTTGCAAATAATAGGAAATTTGCAAAACTGAAGAATATAGTCTGAGTTCCAATGAGTGACAGCCAAATAAACTTATCTCCAACTAATCAAAGTAGGAGGTAATTAGTATGTATTTCACTTTCAAACAGAGGATTATGAATGCGGAGAGAAAATCGTTATACATGTCTGGGGAGGCTGTAACAAGATGGTATTTGAACTTGACCTTGAAATTGACTAGTTTATCATAAGGTGAAGAATGAAAAGAGAAGGGAGGCAGCATGAGAAACGGTGAATATATAGATCAATGTGTAGTATGTTCATGAAACAATGCCAGCTTAGGGTGACAGGTGCATAGGGAGTGCTTGAGAGGCAGGGAGGGGTTGCACAGACAGTGAAGAGCCTGATCACAACTTCCCACTTAGACCTCACCCTTCACACAGGATGCAGCCATCAGATGTCCTGAAGCTAGTAGTGTAGAATGATGACCTGTGAAGGTTTATTGGAACAGCAATTCACTGAGAAACTGGATGTTAAAAGGTAAGTTGTGTTCCAGAAATATAATGGATTTGAAAATAATGCAGTCACAGAGGAATTAAACTAATATTTGTTAAGCATTCTTTTAAGCCAAGGATTGCAGTATGCATGTTACTTGTGTATTTTGTATGCTCTTCATATAGGGAGCAGACATCCACTCTAGGGAGTGGATATTGTCTCCCTTTCACACCTAAAGAGGGACTCAGAGAATATGAACCACTTGCTCAACTTCCCAATCAATAATTGATGGAAATGAGTTTGAAAGTTCCCTGACTTCATTGCATAGTTTGCTCAATTGTGAAGAGGATCAAGAGAACTTTAAGAGGTAACAGGACTTGTGAGTCTCGTGTTCATACCTTGGGGAGCTAAGCCTAGACATGACTGAAAGTGGAAACAGAAAGGCATTATTTCTGGAGAAGGGGAGTTGCAGTCCTTGATATTTGTAAGATTTTTCTGATAGAAACTAACATGAAATTTTACCACTTGCTTCCTAGTATACTTTCCTTCATTCATTAGCTTAATCGTGCAGCAGGCTTATTTGGAGTATGGGCTGTTTTTCAGGCATCAGGCCCTGTGTGTGAATCCTAACTGGGCGTATAGCTTGAGGCTGTGGCAGATAGGTAAGCAGATGGGACCAATAAAATGTTTTAGGTGTAATGGGCTCAGAGGGCACCTCCTGAGAAGATAGCCATGTCTAATCCCACATTCACCCGAATGAAGAAGAAAGGCAGCCAATAATAAAATACTCTCTTTCTCGGGTTTCTGAATAAATTAAATGAAGAGATATCTTAAAATATCTAGCTCAAGGGCTAAGATAAATCTTATGCTCATGAACATTATTCTTTCCACTGCGATTTTTCTTTCTGGGGAGGAAAATTGCCTCCTAGTTTTCACACCCGCCGAGATGCCATGGCCCCTTTCCAAAAATTCCCTCCAACATCTGGCTTAGGGCAGGTCACCAGTTTGCTGCCATTTTCAAGGCTCCTTTCATGGTTTTCCAGGAGGTGTCCGTAGTTTAAGTAAATGTGTTTCTGTTTTCTCATCTCTTTTTTTTTTTTTTTTACAAATAGTTTATTGTCAAATTAGTTTCCACATAACACCCAGTGCTCATCCCCACGAGTGCCCTCCTCCATGTGTTTTCTCATCTCTAGTCGAACTATGAGGGCACCTGCCGTTGACTGAATTACTTCTCCTGATTTGCCACCCTTCAGGAACTTCCATCTGGCCCATACATTCTCAGCTCCCCTCCCAGACCTCATTTTCCACATCTGCTAGAACCAATCAGATTTGTGCCTCTGGTCTTCAGCACTTTGTCCACAAGTATCCATAGCCTCCAAGAGTCCCTTCACCTCTGGCCTGTTGGGGACAGAACACCAGCCCAGTCCTTACCTTGATCTGGGAACCTAACCAGCCTTAGGCGCAGTCCCCAGGAACAGAGGACATGAGATCCATAATAAAACTTGGCTTGTGGGTCAGGAGTTGGGCTGTTTATACTCTTTTGTGAAACCCTGGAGGGTAGCATTTATACCAGGACTCCAGGGACAGAGTTAGTCTCTACCAGTCTCACCTTCTTCCCAAATGGGCTGGCTCTCTAAAACCATTTCCCATCTCCCCTCCCCCTTCCTCCTGATCCCGTTCTCACTTTCTCTGATAGGAAAGATTTTTCTACCTAATCGAGCCTTATTATAGGCCTATTTTAATAAATGTTAGCTCATTTTCAACAGGAATATAAAGATTTATAATTAATATGTACGAATAATTTACAAGGTTGTGTTCCTCATGAAAAGGATCATGTTGAAGTTTTCATAAGTTTCAAATTTCAGCGTTGTGAATGATGATATTTAATTCTGCTAAGGGTACACAAATGAATATACTTAGCAATTAGAAGAAAACATGTGAGTCTTGATTAACTTAGAGACACTTGCATTTCATCTCCCTGCCTCCTTTGTCTTTCTCTTAATTTTCAGTTTGATTGTGATCCATGTAGGCATAGCTTTCTTTGTTTTTATCCTCTCTGAAGTCCAACGATCTTTCTGAATTTGCAAAGTTATGATTTTTACTTAATGTGAAATTTTTCAGTAATTATTTCTTCCAAAAATTTTTCTGTCCTATTTTCCCTCTCATTTCATTTTAGGATGCCAACTACATATATGTTAGAACTTTTGGCATTGATCCAGCAGTACCTGAAGATTTTTTTTTCTTTTTCTTTTTTCTGTTCTTTTGCTCTCTCTTCTTTATTTGGATATTTCTATTGATAAGTCTAGTGACAATGACTAGAAGTGTGACTGCCATGGTCAAAGAGTAAATGCATTTCTTGATTTATTAGATATAGATTTCTGCCTTAGTGGTAGCACCATATTTCATTGTCACTAATAATGAATGTGTATTTATTGGGTGCCTACTATATACCAAGCTATAAAGAAGTGGTTAAAGCAAAAACACTTGCCTTTATGGTTGTTAGCTGTTGTGCGTTTTTATCTTTGGTGTGATCTCTCTCCACATGGTCTCAAATTTTCTATCCTAGGCTTTTAATTATTTTTATTTTTTCTTTTTTTAATTTAATTTTTTAAAAAATTTACATTCAAGTTAGTTAGCATTGTACAAAAATGATTTCAGGAGTAGATTCCTTAATCCCTTACCCATTTATCCCATACCCCTCCCATAACCTGTTCAGTAACCCTGCTTGTTCTCCATATTTAAGAGTCTCATGTTTTGTATTTCCCTGATTAGGAGGGGTGCTGAGCATCGTTTCATGTGTCTGTTGGCCATCTGGATGTCCTCTTTGGAGAAGTGTCTGTTCATGTCTTCTGCCCATTTCTTCACTGGGTTGTTTGTTTTACGGGCGTGTAGTTTGGTGAGTTCCTTATAGATTCTGGATATTAACCCTTTATCTGATATGTCATTTGCAACTATCTTTTCCCATTCCGTTGGTTGCCTATTAATTTTCTGGGTTGTTTCCTTGGCTGTGCAGAAGCTTTTCATCTTGATGAGGTCCCAACAGTTTATTTTTGCTCTTGATTCCCTTGCTTTTGGGGATGTGTCAAGTAAGAAGTTGCTGCGGTGGAGGTCAAGGAGGTTGTTTCCTGCTTTCTCCTCTAGGGTGTTGATAGTTTCCTGTCTCACGTTCAGGTCCTTTATCCATTTTGAGTTGATTTTTGTGCATGGTGTGAGAAAATGATCTAGTTTCATTCTTCTGCATGTTGCTGTCCAGTTCTCCCAACACCATCTGTTAAAAAGGCTGTCTTTTTTCCATTGGATATTCTTTCCTGCTTTGTCAAAGATCAGTTGGCTGTATACTTTTGGGTCCACTTCTGAGTTCTCAATTCTGTTCCATTGGTCTATGTGTCTGTTTTTGTGCCAATACCATACTGTCTTGATGATGACAGCTTTGTAGTAGAGGCTGAAGTCTGGGATGGTGATACCTCCCGTTTTGGTTTTATTTTTCAGTATTACTTTGGCTATTCGGGGTCTTTTGTGGTTCCATACAAATTTTTGGATAGTTTGTTCTAGTTTTGAGAAGTATGCTGGTGCAATTTTGATTGGAATTGCATTGAATGTGTAGAGTGCTTTAGGTAGTAATGACATCTTAACTATATTTATTCTTCCTATCCATGAGCATGGAATGTTTTTCCATTTCTTTGTGTCTTCTTCAATTTCCTTCATAAGTTTTCTATAGTTTTCATCATACAGATCTCTTGTATCCTTGGTTAGGTTTATTCCGAGGTATTTTATGGTTTTTTGTGCAATTGTGAATGGGATCAGTTTCTTGATTTCTCTTTCTGTTGCTTCATTGTTGGTGTATAAAAATGCAACTGATTTCTGTACGTAGATTTTGTACCCTGCAACTTTGCTGAATTCTTGGATCAGTTCTAGTAGGCTTCTGGTGGAGTCGGTCGGGTTTTCTATGTAGAGTATTATGTCGTCTGTGAAAAGTGAAAGTTTGACTTATTCTTTGCCAATATTGATGCCTTTGATTTCCTTTTGTTGTCTGATGGTTGATGCTAGGACTTCCATTACTATGTTAAACAAGAGTGGTGTGAGTGGACATCCCTGTGGTGTTCCTGATCTCAGGGGGAAAGCTCTCAGTTTTTCCCCATTGAGGATGATGTTAGCTGAGGGCTTCTCATAGATTGCTTTTATGATGTTTAAGTACGTTCCTTCTTTTCCGACTTTCTCTAGGGTCTTTATTAAGAAGGGATGCTGTGTTTTGTCAAATGCTTTTTCTGCATCTATCGACAGGATCCTATGGTTTTTATCTCTTCTTTTGTTGATGTGATGTATAATATTGATTGATTTACCGATATTTAACCAGCCCTGTAACCCAGGAATTCGATTTGCAAGTATCT